ATCATACAAAAACTTATCATTCAAAATTAAGTATGCTAAAATATTTACGCAGAGTTCATCTTAAAGGAAAATTCAGGAAAATTCAGCATTCATCCATTTTATCAAATCTTTTCTTTTTATAAATAACAAAAATTATAGGTGTACAAGGAAGAGATTGTGATTAAAAAAAATTTCAAGTAGTAACTCCAATAAGTCAAGATCATAATTCGAATATAAACTCATTCAAATCCAAATCGTCAACTTGAAACTCATAATCAAGCTATCAAAATCAATTTCGAGATTCACAAAATATTATAAAATCATTAATCTTAATCAGATGGGAGCGGTGTTTAACTCAAGATAGGATAAGGTAATTTAACATGTCATTTAGAATCGAAAGAGAATGATCAAATACACCGAGGAACGGAGAGAGGATGAAAAACTTCACGGAAAATCCATTCAAACAAGTTTATTCTTAGGGACAATTTAACATACCTAATTCCCTTCTAATGAATTCAAATTGGTCTTCATTCAAAGCTTTTGTAAATATATCTGCTAATTGATGCTTTGTGTCGATGAATTCTAAAACAACATTATTATTAAGGACATGATCGCGTATGAAATGATGCCTAACGTTGATGTGCTTAGTTCTAGAGTACTGAATTGAATTTTTAGTAAGACATATGACACTAGTATTATCACATTTTATGGGAATGTTTTTAAAGTGAATTCCATAGTCTTCTAATGTATTTTTCATCCAAACAACTTGTGCACAGCATGCACTTGCAACAATGTATTGTGCACAGCATGTGCAAAAACCCAGAAAACTTAAAACCACGCATGAGATAGTTGTGTTACTTAGGGAGATCGTATATCCCTGAATCCCTATAGATCTGTAAGAAATGATGAATGAGGTCAAGTGTTCTCCTCTCTAGCGGTGATCCACACAACAAGACTACAACGATGCTCCTCGAATCACTTCCCAAATCTCCACACCTAATATTTGAGTAGGAAAGGAGAATAGGAGGTGGCAATCAAGAAGCCTCTAGCTTATGGGCTTTTGGTTCTCTCATATTTATATAGGCCTCTTGTCAACTTAACCCTAATGGATCATATCCTATTGAGTATTGGATCTTCATCCAACTACCCAAGCCTCTTAGATTAGTGAATCTCTATCTAATGATCTCTTATTAGCTTTTATTAGATCTCATCAATATGATCCAATAATTCAAGGGTTTATTGGATATCCAATAAGATACAGGCTCCGACGGATATCTCATATTTGAACCTCTACTCATCATAACACCTACCATGTGTGTGTGACCCTCTAGGCTCAATATCAAGCTAGCTATAAGTTATACATGTTAGGACTTCTTCTGGCTTAGTGAATTATTATCTTTACAATAATTCACTCGACTCATTGACCATAGATGTACTAGGCTACTACACCGCAGTCCCTATACAATACAGGAGAATTCAATCCTTTGGACCTATCTATTCTCAGTTACCGTATACTTATTGTCCCTCATCCATCTCATATCCGAAAGACTATATTTCAGGCATTATGCTATCAGACCCATACGGTTTCTACTTGAGTCTCGCTCTAATCGGATTCTCTCGGAGAACTCTTTCTCTCTTACTTTGAATGACCCTAGCCATGGATTTATTTGAGCAAAAATACATGAGATATTCCTCTCACGACACTGAGAATGGGTGATCCTCTATTGACACTCAATAGCCCTCGTAAGGTTAACTACCACTCTCGATGACTGACTGTGCTAGATCAAGAACTTCCAAATCTATAAGTCCGATATCAAAGAGTAAAGTACTGATACAAGACATCCTTAATGTCTCAAGTTTAAGGTCTAGGTACACCACTAGGATAATAGAATCGTTGTTTGACAATGAGGTATAATTAACCATCTAGCATTCCGTGAGTGGATCAATCAGTGAACTCATTTTCCAATGAGCACCTACACTATAGCCCTAGTGTCCTTACATGAGCAGCAATAAGACTAGTTGCCTATATTATATGGACGGATATACAACACACTAGTTTATCTAGTTATCTCGATATCCCTCTCGAGTAACCTATGACTAGGATTATTTGGGGTCTATGTTTAAAGGTGAATCGGTCTCAGTATCGTGATCTCATCACGATTCGATTCTTATTGCATAGATCCATAGACATCATAATATATATGCATATATGCAATAAATAATATAAAGTGATAAAATATCAAATAATATAATAAACAAAAAGAATATGTATTATATCACACGTGTTATCATTTACGTGATTGGCTTGCAGGACACCTATGATTAGCAAAAAAGAATCTTATTTTTATTTCTCAATTCTACAAACAAAATAATACATCTATTGAATTTTTTTCTAACTCGTTAGAATTTAAGCACGAGTACATCCTTTCTTTGAAGCTAGAATAAAGATAATATTTACGAATAGTCATTAGCTTCGTAAATCATCTAGCCAATCACTCTTATTTCAATTGTTACTTCAATTGATATAGCATCATTGTCTTAGTCATCCATCATTTTTTATTTAATAACAATTATTTTTTTATTACTCTTTTTTAATTTTACTTTCAAATCAAATCATAATCTTTTAAGGACATAAAAGATCTAATCGTATATGAGAGAGGAGCGAGCAATGGCAAATGGAGGGGGGAAAATTACGGAATGAGCAATAATAGATGTAGCCAGAGAAACATTTGATGGACGATCTTATGGGACGTGGGGACAAAGCGAAAGAGCCATAAAAACAATGTGAGAAGAAGATAGGGGGAGAGAGCCATTGCGTTTCAAAGCTTAAGATTTTTTATGTAAAAATCAAACTGAAACTATACACACAATATGCATATCACACCAAAAAAGTTAAAAACTTAAAGTGTTTGGCTTAAAACTAGAAAGAACAAATATTTTTATAACTAATTAAGCTGAAAGAATAATTAATTTAAAATTATTATATCAGTTTGTAACAGCTATAAATAATAAGGGTGTTTATAACAAAAAAATATGTAAGACGTGAAAGGAAACATTTTTTTCTTTTATGAACTTTGATTATTATTTTAATCCTTTTTAATCTAAAAAAATTCAAATTTCCTCCTTTTTGTAAGTTAAAAAATTTGGACTTTTTCTAAGAAATTTCACATAATACGGGCTTAAATCCGAAATTATATTTTTAACAAATCAAAATTCGAGATTTAAAATTTTATATTTTATAATAATTTCAGATTTTAAATTTTAAAAAGTTTTTTTTTCCAAATTTATAATTAAAAATTAACTTAATATCCAAGTTAAAATAGTTAGGTTAAATAGTAAAAATATATTGTAACTGACTTTTGTATAATTCCTAAAAATAATTATGAGAAATGGTAAAATTCGTTATTATTACTAAAATAGAATAAATAAATTTTATTTTGTTGGATCTTTCTATCCGTAAGATATTAAGAATAAGAAAGTTACTAGCAGAATATTAATTGAAAAAAATAGAAATAACTATTAGCGTAATACCAACAAGAGAATAAGAGTAAGAGAGTTAGCAATAATATAAGGATTACTAAAAACAATTCAGGAAAAATATAACACCACATAATACTGACAAACAGATAACTATAAATGCAGCATATGTTAATAACAAAACTATTTCAAATTTTCTAATCAAACAAGCAGTCAATCAAATATAATGATAATATTTGTAATTAAATTTTATTTGAGGGTTAGTTTCTTTTAAAATTTGATATACAAATATGTCTTAGATTGTATGAACATGAATTAATAATATTTTAAATAAATGAAAGAATGTTAAATGGAAATGAATCTGGAATCACATTTGACTGAAGGATGATAGAATTTTCAATAAAAAAGAAAAAAAAGAAAAAAAATGTTTCATCACATTTTGACTAATGTGATTATGTCCCCTGACCTATTAATTTGATTTGATTAATTTTAATTTTACTCATTTTTTATGTTTAGGCTAATTGGGATGTTATAATAAGTGATTTAGGACAATTTATCTAAAAGAATACATAAGCAAAAGTTAGTAATAATACATTCATCAAGTTCTCATAAATCAATATTAGTCTTTACATATTTTTGATGTGGGACTAACTGATATGTTACATTATAAGTGAATAATTCAAATCTTGATCTGAAAATTAAAATATTAAATGACATATGAAATGAAAAATAAAAAAAATAAATAAAAACGAGGAAATATTTTTTTTGATATTAATAGTTACTCAATCCTAAGAAAAATCCTAGTAAAAAGAAATCAGATTCTTCCATGAAAAGTAAAAGAGAAATACAACTATCATTTTGCAGTTTGTGAGAGACACTCGTCGAAAGTCTTAAAATTTTAACAAAAGTACATATTCAAAAACAATTTAGTATATTATCAATATTTAGTAACAAACTGCACATTCTTGAGACCATTGAGAGATCAAAAATTTCCAATTAATACAACCATAAAATAAACTTTTACATAACAGACACAGAACCAGGCGTAGACAGAGACACAAACTTTTACTTTTTACCTCGGTCATTTGTTTCTCCAAGTACTCTTACGAGTTCCGCTCAAGGATAGGAAGAGAGACTACATGATTTGATTCGATTGTCTACTACACTTATTTATCAGAGAGGGTTTAAAATCTTACCTAAGGTGTTATTTTAACTGGTAAAATTTTTATCAAATTGACATATAATCTTGAATCAAAATCCGTTCCCTAGAAAAAAAGAAATAGTGACAACCTGCAATGTCCTTTGTTTATCAACTCCAATTTCAATACGTATTTTTCGTTTATAACGATTCTAACCAAATTAACGAGTATTTTAATCCGATTTAATGATAGTTGTACGCCGGTTGATGTCCACGTCCAATACGATCATTGACATGAATCGATCTCCCAACACGACGCCACGTGGAGCAGACCTCCGGTGAAAGGATGCCACGTCAGCGATGTTACGTTGTAGGAGAGCAACCTAGAGCATCACGGACCCACCGAGACCGAGGAGAGTAGCGAAGCCATGGAGGAAACCCGCAGCCGCCGTAAGAGGGGGAGACCTCCTCCCCCTGTCGGTTGCTCCTCCTTCAATCGCACCGTATTTCCCCTCCTCCTCGCGGCTGCCGCCACCTCGTCGTCGTCCTTCGCCTCCGGCGACCTCCAGAACCCTCACGCCCGATTCATCCTCCGGCGATTCCTCCGCGCCCGTCTCGCTCTCCTCACAACGAGAACTCCCCCTTGTTCTTCTCCTTCTGCCCTCGAACGTCTCCTTCCCGAAGGCCTCCTCACCCTGTTCCCTGTCCTCCTCACCTCCAGGTATTCTCTCGTTTCTCTGCGATCGATTGTCCAAAATGTAACTTGTTCTTCTAGCATTTGTTGATTATTGTGGGCGGTTCAGGTGGGCATCTGTGGCTGCACTGGGAGCGGAGGTGGTCGGCGCCGCCGCCCTCTACTCCCTGGAGGCGAACGAGATGATGGCTTCGGACGAAGGAGTCGTGAAGGGTTTGGTTCGCGCTTTGGGGAGCAAAAGCCGCCGCATAGTCAAGGCTGCGTTACACGCTGTTATGGACCTTTCGACCTCTCCAGTCGGAAGAGAGCAGCTCTGGAAGGCATCAGCTGTTGAGAGATTATTGTGAGTATTCCTTTATCTTCAAATTTTTTTCTTGTTTGTGGGCCTCATGCATTGACGAATTATAACCTTTCTCAATCAATTAAGAGTTCCTTTTTTCTGTGGCAACATTCAGAAGTTATTAATGGATGTTGGGATGGCTATCACTTGCTGAATCAAAACAATTTGGAGAAAATTACAAAAGAGGATTAAATATAATCCTTGAAATGCATATCTAACTAGTCTTTCTACCTCCTGCTCCAGTCTTCTTCCTTCTCCGTTAGAGAGCCAAACAGCTAATTTCCCGCAACACCTTTTGCTTGAAAGGAGTTCTATGTTTTCATGCTAGATCCATATACCACATCTAATAAAGGCTATTCGAGGGTCTAAGATCATCACTGAAGAGTAAACAATAAATGTGTCTAATTCATGGAATATGTAAATTTTAACACTTCATCCACTATGAGATCAAATGAAATATTGTAAAAATAAGTATACATAAAGCAAAATGAAAGAATGATACCTTGAACTAATAATCCAAATTAATATTACTATTCACAATCACCAAACGATCAGCAGTGAATCTAACAATTATATATTAAGGTGATATTTAAAACAACCAGAAGAACTATTATTGGCAAACTGAAGATTCAGTTGCTGGTAAATACAGGGTAGGGCCATCCCTCAAATCAAAGTCCAAAGCTGCCTATAACAATGATGCAACCATATACTCTAGAACAAAGGTAATGCATCTACTAGAAACTAAGAGCCATTGGAATCAACATCTTCTTCTGGAGTTATAAAACATTCTCATCCAAGTTGTTGTCAATCAACCAAAAGTATTTTTATTCTAGCATCAAAAACGCCATCCTAGATGAGACTTTCCAAGGGTTTGCACCACCATGGTGGACTGAGTGCCTAAGTGGTTTCCCAAAACAACATTGGTGGAAGGAATGTAGTACTACTAAGAAATGTCTTTTGTACGCAATGAACATTTTGTATGTATGTAATAATAACCAATGACGTTTGTTATACAATATCATACTTTTTTTTTCTTGTACATGCTACTTGAATTGACATTCAGTAGATCTTTTTTTTATCAGTTAGCGAAGACAAGTGCCATATCTGCTGTCCATCACAGTATGGAAAAAGGAAGTGATGTATGTTCAAACAGAAGGCCTGTGGAAGAAAAAATTGTAGCATTAGTCCTTGATGTGATGGTAATCCTTATAAATACTTCTACTGAGATTCTCTTGAATATGATTCCAAGAGACCTAGTAAACAGATCATTGCCATTGTTGCAAGAACTTTGGAAGAAAATTCGAGGTGCGTCAATACCAAGAAATTGGGGAAGATGCCTCCATTTTACAGAATATGATCTTGCTTCCACAATTTTTAGGCTTTCTATGAAGCAAGCTAACCCTGCTCCTTGCGAAATTGACAAGATCAGGATAAGTATATTTGGAAATGAAATATCTAATTTTGAAAATTTTATGTTGAAGTATTGGGAGAACTCACCCTTTCTACTCAGTGGGTCATCAAATATTCTTGAAAAGGACAATGCTGTTTTTAGTTCCTTGGTCCAGTCTTTGAATCCTACATCAACTGATGATGTCCTTGATTCAATTTTGATGGAACTAGTTTCCTGTCCCCCTCTTGCTTCAGATGAGCTTGATATTAATTGTTTTATGAATGAGATGAATAGTTCACTGGGTTCTCCACTCATATATGGACAGGATATTCGGGTTTTGAAAGCACGAGAACTAATGGCTGAATCCTTCAAAAATTATGTGAAAAAAGAAGTGCATTTCTTTGAGAATGGTATGCGTAAAGTGTTTATAGATGGTGATAATGCTCAAAAGTGTAAAGAAGCATTTCAAAATGGTTTTACAGTTGCACTGCGTGGAATGGAGTTTCGGTTTGCTAAGGTCGCTGCTATTGCCAAAGGGTTAGAAGTTTTATTTGGTCAACCATCAGTTGGGGCAAATTTGTACCTAACACCACCAGGATCTCAAGGTTTAGCTCACCACTATGACGATCATTGTGTATTTGTGTGGCAACTCTTTGGTCAAAAGCACTGGACTATTTCATATTCTCCCACATCTGTTCTGCCCAGGTTATATGAACCTCTTAGCAGTTTCCCTTGCTTAGAGAGTGAGAAAGGTGGAGGCTTGCAGCTGACACTCAATGAAGGTGATATTCTGTATATTCCTAGAGGTTATCCTCATGAGGCTCATACAAATACTGATGCTTCTGAATCTCAGAATAATATGTCTTCTGGTTTTTCCTTGCATCTTACACTTTCTATTGAAGTGGAGCCACCTTTTGAGTAAGTATTTTTGTGACTGCAGATCTGATATTTACTTAGCTGACATTATTAGATAATTCAAATCCTGATGGAATAACTTTGGATACCTGCATCCTTTTATCATTATATGTCAGGTTATATTAGTTCCATATACGAGTGAGAGAAGTTGTATCTAACTGCCTGTAGCTTCAAATACAACATAGACTGATGGTCCCTATTTTCTATCATGTCAGTCTTAGTTCTCCAGGACTCACAAATTTTGGCACCTCAATCACTATTTCCTTGAAGGACGATTTCCATGTCATAATTGGATAGTTATAGTTTGCTAGTTATAGATGGAACTTGAGGGTTTCAACTGGAAAGTATGTTGTTAGAACAGCAGTCTTGATTCACATGGAAGCTTCTTAGTTCATTTCTTATCAATGACTTAGTGACATGATCATGTTGTGTTTTTAGGAATGCTGGTAAGCATTCAATAGGATTGTTGGTAGAATCTCTGTTTGTCTAATTGCCTATATGTTCTGTTCTTTTCCTCTTACTTTTGGGTATATGATTATGATCATGATCAGCTATATTCCAGGTGGGAAGGTTTTGCTCATGTTGCTCTTCATTGTTGGCATGAAAAGGAGAAAGAATTATCAGATTCCATCACTAGTTCCGAAGCCAGAACAATGAGAATCCTTTCTGTGTTTCTTTTGCATGTTGCAATCAGGCTGACAGCTAATTGTAATCCTATCTTCAGGAAAGCTTGCTTGGTTGCTGCAAAATTAGGTTCGGCAGAAGTTCTTGACGAGCCTCATTCTGAGACTCTTATGCTAAGCCAAAAAGCTACCTTTTGGAATATAATGAATATAATCAGAAATAGCTCTAATTTCATGGAAGTATATAAGATTGTAGCAGTTATTCAGGAAAGCAATGATGATTCTTTGCAATGGATGAGGTGGCTTCGGCATTTGCCCCAGGATGGAGCTGATGATGCAAAAATAGACTTCAGTAACCTTTTGAGAATGTGGGATAAACTTGTGGAATTCAAAGGGAATGGGGAACTCAAGGATGAATTTTTTAAGACCAAGTCCAAATTTTGTAGAAGTGTAGTATATGATGATGCATGTAAGATGTTCCACATGCTGTTGGAGAGGTATAGAAGAACCAGGAGACAGTATATGTGCGGGATGTTGTCACTCAATTCTGCATAGCAAGTAAGCTCGTCATCTATAACAGTTGACGATTGTTGCTTCAGTTCCTTGATGTTTGTGGTTTCTCTTGTCTAATCTTTGGTAACGTGGATGTTCAACATTTTCAGGCGAAACAGGTTATTTACCCCCCACCAGTTGGCACTTGATTGAACAAGAATTAAATTTGTCCAGACTAGTTTCTTGTTATGTTGTGAGTGCATGGTTCACTTTCTGGGACTGTTCTATGTCATCACCAACATGCATTTAGAATCAACCAGAAGTTTGAACAAATGGAGCTACCAGAATGTTTAGGATGCTTGGGCAGTGGATAACGATGACTATTTACTTCACGATAAATACGCACTGTGTTACATACCTTCCTCTTCTATGTGCTGAATGCCTATCACAATTTCAATTTTTTGGCTTTGGCCCGAGTGATCTGGATCAACTGTAATCATGAAATTTGTTAAGATTTTTACAAGTGATTCAAGTCTCTCTCTGCTGCACACATCAGCCCTCAAAGGATTTGTTCCTTCCCTAGCTGCATGCCCATTGTTTCGATCTTCCATCGTTGAGGGGAAACTACATGCTGGTGGATGGTGGCAGAGGCAGAATGCTATTGTTAGAGAACCTGGAATCATCAAACAAAGTAGTGTTATCCTCTGTTGTAATTGAATGAGTGGATTATTAGGGGCTGCAGCTGCTGGAGTGTAATGCAATAAATCAACTCAACACTCTGTTTTGTCAACAGAAAACCACGTTAAGATCTAGTCATTGTCTGGAAACAAGCTCACAAGTGCACCACACAATGATGGGGAAATCATTTCTCCATCTCCTCTACCCACCAAGAACCTGAGTCAAAATGTCATGTCCTACATAAATAGCATTTCCACCACCATTTCACATCATAGCACAAAAATGCCAAATCCTTCTTCTCTCATCTTCATTGAAACAATCAAGAAAGGAGAACGAGGAGAGGAAAAAAAAAAAAAGGGAGAGCGAACTGATAGCTGATGCTGGTGGGGGCTGTCTCACGGTGATTGAGGTGACTCAATTTGTACGGAAAAGCTAATGGTGGAGGAGGCGTAGGAGGCAGCTTTGCTAATTAATGGGTATGTCTTTTTGCTGCAATATGGGTATTTATGTCTTGTACTAATGTGCACTGTTCCCCAGAAAACCTGGTTTCGTCCAATTTTGTGGAGGGAAAGCATGCAGGATGGATCACTGTCCTGATGTGGATAGCATGGTTTGGGCTTTCCAACTGGATTAACACTTCATATATCTGGAAAACGGAAAATTAACTTTGGATTGACCTGATTTGTCTCCACAGCCAGCAAGCTGACTCAGAACATTGTCTTAATTACCAGCTTCTTTATGCCCTTATGCATCAGAAAGCTGATTCAAAAGAAAAGGCTTCAGTGAAGTGCAGTCTATTATGTGTTGATGATGGCAAGAATGCGGTATCTATATTTTTTTTGCCAGACTACATGGCTTTAACTTTATATATATAGAGAGAGAGAGAGAGAGAGACTGTTTTGTGATTTGCGAATCATAATACTATTGAATCAGAAGCCAGCCTTGAGTAATTACTGCATTCAGTGGTCTCTCTGCTTGTTGCCCGTTGGTAGCCTGCCACGAGGAAGCAAACTACTCATCACAAGAAGCTACATACTGTGAAAGAATTTAGAGGATAAACCATGCATAAAAAAGACAAGCTCTTAAGACTAACCTGTAAGTGTTGTTAAAGAACACTTTCTTGAGGAAAAGAAAAGCTCATCATTCTGATCCTTTCTCAATGGTTGATTACAAGGAATGACTATTTTGCTCTTCCATGAAAATTCAAAGATCTTCTTCATGTGATGATTTCAAACAGGCCATTGATGTTAAGGCAGCAGGTATGCTTGTTTGAAACGGTCACATGTCAGGCATTGTAAGGATCATTACAAACCCACTTTTTACACTTGTAAAACCCACAAGAAGATAGAAAGGAAAAAAGGTCATATTTCCTTCCTAAACGAACCCAAAGAGAGCAGAAAAAGCAGCACTTCTTCTTCTTCTTCAGCCTCCTCCTCTGTGTGATGACCAACATCTGATACTTCCTTCATCGATTGTGCAAGGGATTCGAGGCAGTAGGGACCACCCGCTTGTCGTCGTCAACCGAGCTATCATTCTGCTGTGCTCGAACGAGATAACCACAAACATCCATCTTCTTGTCTCTGCACCTACGTAGGTCAACGGCAGCAACGCCGATAGCTGAGTTGTTTGCTGCTGGTCTCCCCTCAACTGCCACTGCATGACTGCGCTTCGCCTCCATCCCTCGGCACATAGCAGTGACGACGAGGACTAAGCAAGCGACCAAGGCAGTGGGAGCCCATCTCTTCCTCATGGCCGATAGGACACGCCTTCAGCTAATGCTGCTTTATAAGACTCTCGTAGTCGTAGAAACAAGAGATGAGAGGAGGAGGGAAGGAAGCATAAATGAGTCAAAAGTATTTGCAGTAGGATATGCGGTTTATACTCGTTACATCCCTCGATCAGTGACTCCACCAAACTGCATTAATGCAACTTCAATTCTCCCGCAGGCAGACAACTAAAGAGGGACGGAGAGAGAGAATGACTAAGAACGCACACACGAAGAAAACAACAAAAAGGTCCGACAAAATCGCGTATACTTGAGACATTGCAGAACATGTAACGAGGGTCATTGGCTTCATTCCATTCCCTTCCTAACATTATCCACTCTCTCTCTCTTGGTGGTTTCCACGTGCTGTGCTGAGAATAGTAAATAGCAGCATCTGGGTTTATTAGATGAGAGAGAGAGAGAGAGAGAGAGAGAGAGAGGTTGG